AAAGAAGTTCCAAAAGGCTTCCCAAGTTTCTTATCCTTTGCAACCAAAAAAGACTTACTGGCCCCAACTTTATTAGAAATATCATTCAACACTTGCCTAGAAGCGTCTTTAGGGGACTTAGACTTAGTCCAAATCTTGTTTCCCGTGGGGACAACATTCTCCATAATATTAACCGTCTTAGAAGACAAAGAAGGCTCCACCAACAGTTTATCCACTTCTCCTCCAAAATCCTCCCCAACTTGTCTCAAGGCATCAAATTTGGACCCCTTAGAAGTCCCACCAGAACACTTACCCCTCCTATCTTTAAAATTAGTCTTATATTTCCTTCTAGGCTGAACATTCATTCAAGGGCCTCTTAGCTGAGAATCCCAATACTGCAACTTATTAACCCCATCCCCAGAATCAGTGTTCATGGCCATGAACTCTTCGATAGGCACCTCAGGAGTTTTCTCAGGTTGAACCTCAACCCTCAGAGGACACACTTCCCTCTTATGACCATATTTACCACACATATAACATATTTCTGGTAGGCCTTCATACTCTATGTTGTACCAATGTTGATTAATTTGAACAAAAGCCTCTAAAGGCTTAGTTAGATCAAGCTCCACACACAAACGAGCAAATTTACCTCGGTTCTGAGAAGTTGTGAGAGAATCAATTTTCAATAGCTTCCCCACTAAATTTCCAATACGCTTCAAAGACCACACATCAAAACATTCAAGCTGAATAGCAGCCACCCTTATCCAAGCTGCCATGCGTGTGATATGTGTTGTAGCAGGACAGAAACCAGGTCTCCCTTTCAGAGCATGCTTCCAAGGCTGGGAGAGACGATCCATAGCACGATCGGAAAACTGAATGCTCGGCCCCTTCTCACCTCGAGAAATAACCACGTCTTCATCATCATTAAGATCCTCATGAGTATCACTAAGGCAACACACATCAATACCCACATTCTTTACTAGATTCACCTTACCCATAAGTTTATCTTTAAAACTTCCAGACCCAAACTCAGATTGTGCCCCAATGACATTTCCAGAGCCAAAATCAGATTGAGCCCCATCTCTGGGATTTCCAGAACCAAACCCAGATCGAGCCCCTTCCTTGAAATTTCCAAATCCAAACTCAGATCTAGCCCCCAAAACAGAATCAGCAGTCTGCCCTTGCTTAAGAAACGGAATAGAACTGGACCTCTGTTCCAATTCGCACTCAGAATTGAAATCCTCTGATGCTCTCACTCTCTTAGTGAAGCGATGGTGCTTCATATAGACCCCAGGTGAACCCTCCTCCATGATCAGAGAAAGCAACTCACAGAAACAAACAAAAACAAAACGGAGGAACAAACCTGGAAACCGCCGCGAACAGCAGCCTCCAGAGAGCAGCAAAAGCTTCCGAAAACCAGCAAATATCGCCGCGCGTGAAGCGCGTTCCTAAAGCTTTTTAGCAGCTTGTTCAAAATGCCTTTCATATAATAATAAAGGTTTGAATCGTATAATAAAATACTATAAAAATCCAACACCTAAGTCCATTTTCAGGGTTTGAATCTCTCATACACATCATAAGAAGGTAAAGGTTTTGAAAAGTAGGTAGAAAAAACGTCATTGCTAACAGCAACACATCTGTTGCAGATACTTCTAGATTCTAATCCCACGAACTATAAATATATACTCACCTCAAATTCAAAATAACTTTTAATCTTGGGTAAATTGGAGCTAGCTTTCACGTCTTTGATCAATCTCTCAACATAGGGCCGATGACTAAAGCTGCATCTGAAGCAAAACCACCTGTCAATGCCTATGGATGGGCTGCTAGAGATTCCTCGGGAGTTCTCTCCCCCTTTCACTTCACTAGGAGGTAACTCAAACTTTATTTTTTTTTTCATAATCAACGTACGTAAAACCAATTGTTAATGGATGGAGAGACTCGAAATCTTATATGCTACAATGGGGCAATTTGGTTTATCGTATTTGCGCTAAAACTAGCTTAATTTTTTACTTAACAAGACAATCGTTGCATGCTTTTGTGTTCAGAGCTAACAGCGATGATGATATCACCGTAAAGATACTCTACTGTGGAATTTGCCATGGAGACATTCATCTGGTCAAGAACAAAATATGGCCGACCCTCTATCCAACTGTCCCAGGGTAAAATTTCTTCTCGGGTGATCAAGCTGGTTTACACTATATTGTAAAATTTAATGAGTAACTTTTTCTTTTCCTTTTTTGATAATTTTTGTAGGCATGAGATTGTGGGGCAAGTGACAAGAATTGGGAAAAATGTCACAAAATTTAGAGTTGGGGATATAGCCGGAGTGGGGTGCATAGTAGGATCATGTGGCTCATGCGATAACTGCAAACAAGACTTAGAAAATTATTGTCCCAAAATGTTATGGACCTTCCAAGGACAGCATGAAGATGGGACAAGAGCCTTTGGTGGGTATTCTGATAACATGGTTGTGGAGGACCGCTATGCAGTCCTAATCCCAAATGGTTTTGCATTAGCTGGTACTGCCCCATTGTTGTGTGCCGGGATTACCGTGTACAGCCCGCTGAAACATTTTGGCCTCTCAAAGCCCGCCACGCACTTGGGTGTGGTCGGGCTTGGCGGCCTAGGTCACATGGCCGTGAAGTTTGCCAAAGCGTTTGGTGTGAAGGTCACGGTGGTAAGTTCTTCTCCAAGCAAGAAGAAGGAAGCAGTGGAAAGGCTTGGTGCTGATTCTTTTTTGATCAGTCATGATCAGGAGCAACTAGAGGTAATTGATAAGTTTTTTTATTGATTAATTGTTTACATTGCCCTCAAGCGCAAAGAAAAAAAGACAATGTGTTCAGTATAATACTAATTTTCATATAATATTTTAAGACTGCCATGGGAACTATGGATGGTATCATTGACACCGTTTCAGGCCCTCACCCTCTCTTGCCTTTGATTGGCTTGCTCAAGACTAGTGGAAAACTAATTTTGGTGGGTGCTCCAATTGAGCCTCCTGAGCTACCAGTCTTCCCTATAATTATGGGTACGTAATTTCCCTTCTCCCTTTTTTTTTTTTTTTAATTGCTTTCTCGTTTTTGGTTTTTTTTTTATAACAAAATAGTGATTTCAAATTGATGTAATTGATATTGGGAAAAAAAAACAGGGAGGAAACTTATTGCGGGTAGTGCAATGGGGGGACTAAAAGAGACACAAGAGATGATAGATTTTGCAGCAAAACACAATGTCACAGCGGATGTGGAAGTTGTTCCAATGGATTATGTGAACACTGCACTTGACCGACTTGACAAGGGTGACGTTAAGTATCGTTTTGTCATTGATGTGGCAAACACCATAAATAATCATGATGAAGCATCTCCTTAAATTCAACGTGGAATAATTTCTCTATTCTGCTGTAATTTTTTTATGTTTGATACTTTGTGATATTATTTCATTATTTCATTGTTATTTTTAATTAATGTGGCTAGAAAGTAATAAATAAATCAATCCTAATGTAATAAAATAATATTTTAATTTGAGATATCGAGTGGAATGTAAAACTTTATTATATGTCAAATTACAACATAATTAAGCAATCAAATTCAAATTTAATATTTGATATTTGACATCTCCCTTGGAGATTCTCTTGAAGATGCTCACATATATAATTGTTGGATCAATTTTCACCAAGATTGAGAGAGTTATATATGCCTATAAATTACATGTCTTTAAAAATTGATGTTATAACATATGTGTGTATATATATAAATAATCCCCTTTAGAAATAAGATCAAAATAGTGATTTCAAATTGATGTAATTGATATTGGGAAAAAAAAAACAGGGAGGAAACTTATTGCGGGTAGTGCAATGGGGGGACTAAAAGAGACACAAGAGATGATAGATTTTGCAGCAAAACACAATGTCACAGCGGATGTGGAAGTTGTTCCAATGGATTATGTGAACACTGCACTTGACCGACTTGACAAGGGTGACGTTAAGTATCGTTTTGTCATTGATGTGGCAAACACCATAAATAATCATGATGAAGCATCTCCTTAAATTCAACGTGGAATAATTTCTCTATTCTGCTGTAATTTTTTTATGTTTGACTTTGTGATATTATTTCATTATTTAATTATGTGGTTAGAAAGCAATAAATAAATCAATCCTAATGTGATAAAATAATATTTTAATTTGAGATATCGGGTGGAATGTAAAACTTTATTATATGTCAAATTACAACATAATTAAGCAATCAAATTCAAATTTAATATTTGATATTTGACATCTCCCTTGGAGATTCTCTTGAAGATGCTCACATATATAATTGTTGGATCAATTTTCACCAAGATTGAGAGAGTTATATATGCCTATAAATTACATGTCTTTAAAAATTGATGTTATAACATATGTGTGTATATATATAAATAATCCCCTTTAGAAATAAGATCAAATCCAACAATTTTTTTTTATGAAACAAAAAATTCATTAGATAAACTTCAATAATACAATCAAATACATCAACGTGACATCTACACCACCGATTCCAAGAGGGCAACAAACTAAGAGCATCTCCAAAGCAGATATTAAATCCAACGTTAAACTTTTAGCAGGTAGAAAAAATAAATGAGACTCACTCCAACCGATCTCCTCCTAAACCGATCTCTCTCGGTTTAATCCTCCCTCTGTGGATGCCTCTATCTTCATATGGTAATCAAATATGTTCCAAGAGGCAAGACTCGTCCAATTAAGACTTGTGGTTTTTATTCTCCCCTTATATAATTTTGTCTTGGTGGCTCCGTTGATTTGGTCAACGCATGTTCTTTGGCTTGAGGATGGGGTAAAAACTTTACAAAATAGGAGGAGAAAATTCATACATGGCCGACAAGTCGATCGCACTACGTCATTGCTGATTCTCACAGTTTCAAACATACATATGATAAGTATTTCCGTCAACTTTCTTTCTTGGAGCTTACCCAACCATATGCTATATATCTCTTCGCAAACCCCCAACCAAGACACCACAACACTCTGCCTCATTTCAATTCTCTCAAGAAATATACACAGATCATACACAATATTGACTAAGGTACAATAATGTCTCAAGAAATATCAGGGGCCGAAGACCAAGCAGTGAAAGCCTATGGATGGGCCGCTAGAGATTCCTCTGGTGTTCTTTCTCCCTTCCACTTCACCAGGAGGTATTTGAGTTACTTGTTCTTCTCTTCCACGCCATTTCGCTAAATCTTACGTGACAATTTTTCGTTTATTTAAATATGCTTAAGATATAGGCTTCACCAAACTTGTGTGGTTTTTTTTTTTTTTTTTTGGGTACTTGCAGAGGCAATGGTGATAATGATATCAGCATGAAGATACTCTATTGTGGAATTTGCCACTCAGACCTTCACCTCGCTAAGGACGAAGTGGGAATGACCATATATCCCATTGTTCCAGGGTACATTATTTAATTTATTGGTTCAACTAAGCTTAATTAGTATATGGAATTTAATCTCAAATGTCACCCTATAAATAATGAGCAGGCATGAAAATAACTCGGAAAATAATATGCATTTTCATCGAAATTTTGCAGACACGAGATTGTAGGAGAAGTGACAAAGGTGGGGCGCAATGTTACAAAATTCAAAGTAGGAGACATAGCCGGAGTTGGGTGCATGGTGGGTTCATGTCGCTCATGCGACAACTGCACACAGGACCTGGAAAACTACTGCCCCAAAATGGTGTGGACCTACAACAAACACCACGAAGACGGATCAAGAACCTTCGGTGGATACTCCGACAAGATAGTAGTCGATGAGCACTTTGTCGTTCAAATCCCCAAAAACCTTCCATTACAAGGTACTGCCCCAATGCTGTGTGCTGGGATCACAGTTTACAGCCCTATGAGATACTTTGGGCTGATGGAGCCTGGTAAGCATTTGGGTGTGGTGGGGCTTGGTGGCCTTGGCCATATGGCCGTGAAGTTTGCCAAAGCTGTTGGAGCAAAAGTTACTGTGATAAGTACCTCCCCCAATAAGAAGAAGGAAGCTGTGGAACAACTTGGTGTTGATGAATTTCTGATTAGTCACGACCAAGAGCAATTGCAGGTACATTAGCTAGCAATAATTCTCGTTTTGAGTAACTCCTACATGCTCCAACTTCTTCCAAAAAATTAAATTTATTCTTCGTACTTTTTTTGGGTCTAAATTTATTCTTTGTACTTGCATATCAATATTGCACTATATGGAATTAGGCTGCCATGGGTACAATGGATGGTATCATCGATACTGTTTCAGCCGCTCACCCTCTCTTGCATTTGGTTGGCCTGTTGAAGACCAATGGAAAACTAATTCTGGTGGGTGCTCCAATCCAGCCTCCTGAGTTACCAGTTTTCCCTTTAATCTTGGGTAAGTTCAATTTATTTTCGGCCTAGTTTTGCTCATTACTTTTTTTTTTTCAGAGTAATCTAAACTCTATCTCTAAGACCAAAATTAAGTAAATCTGTAATTTAATTACTAGGGAGGAAGCTTGTTGCTGGCAGTGCAATTGGGGGAATGAAAGAGACCCAAGAGATGATAGACTTTGCAGCAAAGCATAATATCACAGCAGATGTTGAAGTTATTCCAATGGATTATGTGAACACTGCCCTTGAACGAGTTGCCAAGGCTGATGTTAAGTATCGCTTTGTCATTGATGTGGCAAACACCATAAAATCTCCATATTAATATGGAAATAACTTCCTAGCCAACATGCCTTGTTTGGCAATAAGATGAATTGCTAAGGATCATCGTCTCGTCGCGCATGGGATGATTGGCCTTATTAATTCCATATAGACGAAGAATATATTTTAAGATGCGCAAGGTGTGCTTAATTTTTTGTCGTGTGTATCTTATCCTTGAAATAAAGTCGATGTTTATGTAATTTTTGGCTATTAATTTCTAGGCAAACTTTGTTACTCATTCTTTGATATGAGAGCTCCATATAAACTTCTCTAGTCCTTTTAATTTTTTTGGGTCAACGTTAACTTCTAGTCTTTACTATCATATTATTACCTCAAGAGTTGGTGGTGTAAAAGTTTAGAAATTTGTTTAAGATGAAAATAACATTAAAAAAAATAAAAAGATAGTACTTTCATTCATAATTCATGACAAAAACAATACAAGCTACAGCCACAACTAGTTTTCCTAATTCTGAACCAATTGAGATGATAAATTTCAATTGTGGAATTTGCCACTCAGACCTTCACCTCGCTAAGGACGAAGTGGGAATGACCATATATCCCATTGTTCCAGGGTACATTATTTAATTTATTGGTTCAACTAAGCTTAATTAGTATATGGAATTTAATCTCAAATGTCACCCTATAAATAATGAGCAGGCATGAAAATAACTCGGAAAATAATATGCATTTTCATCGAAATTTTGCAGACACGAGATTGTAGGAGAAGTGACAAAGGTGGGGCGCAATGTTACAAAATTCAAAGTAGGAGACATAGCCGGAGTTGGGTGCATGGTGGGTTCATGTCGCTCATGCGACAACTGCACACAGGACCTGGAAAACTACTGCCCCAAAATGGTGTGGACCTACAACAAACACCACGAAGACGGATCAAGAACCTTCGGTGGATACTCCGACAAGATAGTAGTCGATGAGCACTTTGTCGTTCAAATCCCCAAAAACCTTCCATTACAAGGTACTGCCCCAATGCTGTGTGCTGGGATCACAGTTTACAGCCCTATGAGATACTTTGGGCTGATGGAGCCTGGTAAGCATTTGGGTGTGGTGGGGCTTGGTGGCCTTGGCCATATGGCCGTGAAGTTTGCCAAAGCTGTTGGAGCAAAAGTTACTGTGATAAGTACCTCCCCCAATAAGAAGAAGGAAGCTGTGGAACAACTTGGTGTTGATGAATTTCTGATTAGTCACGACCAAGAGCAATTGCAGGTACATTAGCTAGCAATAATTCTCGTTTTGAGTAACTCCTACATGCTCCAACTTCTTCCAAAAAATTAAATTTATTCTTCGTACTTTTTTTGGGTCTAAATTTATTCTTTGTACTTGCATATCAATATTGCACTATATGGAATTAGGCTGCCATGGGTACAATGGATGGTATCATCGATACTGTTTCAGCCGCTCACCCTCTCTTGCATTTGGTTGGCCTGTTGAAGACCAATGGAAAACTAATTCTGGTGGGTGCTCCAATCCAGCCTCCTGAGTTACCAGTTTTCCCTTTAATCTTGGGTAAGTTCAATTTATTTTCGGCCTAGTTTTGCTCATTACTTTTTTTTTTTCAGAGTAATCTAAACTCTATCTCTAAGACCAAAATTAAGTAAATCTGTAATTTAATTACTAGGGAGGAAGCTTGTTGCTGGCAGTGCAATTGGGGGAATGAAAGAGACCCAAGAGATGATAGACTTTGCAGCAAAGCACAATATCACAGCAGATGTTGAAGTTATTCCAATGGATTATGTGAACACTGCCCTTGAACGAGTTGCCAAGGCTGATTTTAAGTATCGCTTTGTCATTGATGTGGCAAACACCATAAAATCTCCATATTAATATGGAAATAACTTCCTAGCCAACATGCCTTGTTTGGCAATAAGATGAATTGCTAAGGATCATCGTCTCGTCGCGCATGGGATGATTGGCCTTATTAATTCCATATAGACGAAGAATATATTTTAAGATGCGCAAGGTGTGCTTAATTTTTTGTCGTGTGTATCTTATCCTTGAAATAAAGTCGATGTTTATGTAATTTTTGGCTATTAATTTCTAGGCAAACTTTGTTACTCATTCTTTGATATGAGAGCTCCATATAAACTTCTCTAGTCCTTTTAATTTTTTCGGGTCAACGTTAACTTCTAGTCTTTACTATCATCAGTACCTGATTATTACCTCAAGAGTTGGTGGTGTAAAAGTTTAGAAATTTGTTTAAGATGAAAATAACATTAAAAAAAATAAAAAGATAGTACTTTCATTCATAATTCATGACAAAAACAATACAAGCTACAGCCACAACTAGTTTTCCTAATTCTGAACCAATTGAGATGATAAATTTCACTAAAAAGCTCTATATTATAATTAGTTTTCAAATGCATATATATATAGTCCCCTCTTATTGAGGGTTTAGTGGGACCTACAAGAGTGTCCTGGGATCCGTCAACTGAAGCTCTCTGTATATATATGGGTCATATCTATATACTCATATAAAAGAAGAGTTTCGGCCAACTTCTCCCAAAATACTTTATATGTCCATCTATTGCCAATTTTACCCTAAAGAAAAGCAAAACAAATATAATCGTGTTTACTTACTTGGAATAGGGAAAGTCTTGAACCGGGCAAGTGAGAAATTAGAGAGAGAGGGAGGAATCAACTACTCCTCCCTAACACATCGTCGCCAACTTTTTGGCAGAAGAAGTGAAGTGAATTCTACGATGGCTAAGTTTACAATCCCTTGTTTCGTCCTCATTTTGGTGCTCTTGTCAACCACCAATGGTTTGTTTCAATGATCTTCAATCATATATTTTTTATTTTTTTCCTGTTAGTTAGGCTTTTCAATCTCCTATATATATGGTCAAACAGATGCCCATGCATGCAAGCTATTAGGGTTTTCTTTTGTTTTATGATCAGTGTATGAGTCGATAGAAAACCCAAATTGGATCAATTTTAATTACTTTTAATCTAAGAATCTAGAGTTTGCTCAAATGCGTAAACCCATGTCTACACTTGTTTTTTCCGTAAATATTTTGTAATATAATTTTATATATTGCAGAGTTTGTTCAAGAGGCTTTTTGTTTTTTAATTTTTGGTTCATATCGCACTAAGACTATAATCTTTTTGGAGAATTAATTAAGTGTCTTTTTTATTTTTAAATTTCAGTTTGGAAGATAGCAACTGTTGAAGGTTCTAAGTGTTGTACTGATCATCCTGAACTTGGAAAGTGTGTCCCTGGTGCGGATGACAACCCAGACGGTGGAAAATGCTGGACATTTTGCACTTCAGGTTGTGAGAAAGGAGGCATCTGCAAACTATTTGGCAACCATCATCATTGCCATTGCTTTTGTTGATTTTCTTTCAACCCTATTCCATAATATTATTAATTATAGTTAGCATTTTTATCTAATTTTCTTAAGTTGGCTAGGTAGGGGGCCTCCTCCCCTACTAGACTGGATTGTCATCTTCAATTTCAAGCGTGTGTACCCTTCTTTAGTTGAATAAAATTATCTTGGTTTTTCGTCATTTTTGTGTGCTCAAGCTTCCCATTGCAATGTGCCGTCTTGGGTTCTTCACATAGATGTCCTTACAACTTTTAAATCCTAGACACAAACTCACATAACTTTAAACATCTAACTAAAATCCAAACTTGTAAGGGCCAGTTTGGCATTGTTGTGCTGTGAAAATAATCGTTGTCAGATTTGTAGTGAGAGAAATCAGATGTGAGAGAAAGCAGTTTGGCGTTTGCCGCATAATCATTAAACCCAGCGCCACTTCGAAACTGATTCCTGCATAATCAGAAAATGAAAGCACCTCATTAGCTACTTTCCCTTATAGCTTTCTCTCACAGCAATTTTTAACAATAAGTGATTTTCTCACAGTTTACCAAACGGGCTGGCCTTCCCAAATTTTTTTTAAAATCACTTATCACCTCAAATAAGCAATGCCAAACGGGCACTAAGATGGATATGACCTATTATTATTAACTAAATTACAATATATGGGATCTACCTTCATGCAGGGGCGGAGCCACACTGAGACCAGTGTGGTCACGGGCCCCCACTCAATTTTTTAATATTTTAAAAGTAATATACTGTTATGTATTTGTATATATATATATATTATTTCAAATACTTTACGTTTTGATATGTACCCACATGTGTTGTGGAGGACCTATGAAGGCATAATGAGGTGCTTCAAATTTCCCATTTGCTCAGCTGGTAGTGGTGCACTCCAGGTATACAGATTACCTTATTTCCATTTTCAACATTTAAGTAAATGTCTTTCTCCTTTTACTTTAATTTATTTTTTATATTACTCCATTTACTTAAGTTTACAATGTAAATAAGGAAGTACCCCCTATTTGGATTCAAATAAAAATACTAGAAAATCAAATTCCTACCAAATCAAAATATGAAAAATCGATTTTAGTGCAAAATACGATTTAGGCTAAAAATGATGGCTCATTAAGTCAATATATACTTCATACTAAAATCCCATAAAATCAAGTTTTCTTATTTGATGTGTAAGGAATAAAAGCCGCCAAAAATTATCTTGAGAAAATGATTATTCCAAAAAACTATTTTTTATACTTACCCAATATTTTTACATAAAACAATTTTTCATGTATTATTATTTATTGTTATCAATGAAATTACATAATACGGTTGATCAGTTTTCTATCTACTTAGTATGTTTATATGTAAGTTAAATTTAGCCCAGTAAAGTTTGAAATCCTGGATCCGTCCCTGACTCCGAAGCTATAAACATCACTTTTCTCAGTAAATTGGCTTGACCGAAAGTATTCTTTCGCCACTGCCTTCATGGTTTGTATTTAATTTATTTTAAAGCATGTCATTAACTCCCTGATTTGTTATTGATACTCCCTGATTTCTAGCACATTAATGACTCCAATTTTTTGAAATGAAAGTATCATACGAGGAATAACTAGCATGCATCTTGAAAGGAAAGATAATTGATTTCGAAATAATAATAAAAACCCCATAAAAGATTAAGTCTGGGTTAATTCTCAAACGTTTTAATAGTCAACTTAGCTTTATATAATGGTAGCTCTCTCTCCATATAAGTCTGGGTTGAAGCATATATACCCTTCTTTACTTGAATAAAAATATCTTGGCCCTTTGTGTTGGGGTTGATATATATGGGCCTAGAATATTCCAAAAGAATATAGGCCTGTAAACCCATCTTCTCAACCACCTGGGATCTTTATAGGATTTGTTTCTGATTATGTTGGGTCAGTTTCAGGTGTGAAAGATCATAGCCCAATCATCCATCAGAGTTTTACGGTTGGGTGTTTTAGCAAGTTGATCTCAAAACGGAAATATTTTTGTTCACCGTTTTAACTGAAGATGTATCATCATCACTCTTCTTAATACTTGACACGCGTCCATAGATATAATAATTATTAACTTTTTACTTGTATTTATGGAACAAAGGTTATGTATGGACATGTGTCAAGTGTTGAGAATGGTGGCGATGATACACATTGGGTTAAAATGGTGAGCAAAACCTGATTTAGAGTGTTTTGTGTTAAAATGGTGAGCAAAATCTGATTTTGAGTGTTTTGCCATGTGACATGTTTATGATGCAGTTTGCAGTGAATGTTTATTGATATAAAATATAAAAAATAATTATGACTTGAAATTAAAATTAATTTGCCCCAAAAATCAATACGCGGAAGCATGTCATGCAGTGAAGCTTTGTAGCAGTGAAGTACTAAAAGTCAAACCTTTGAAAGTCGTGACTAATTGAGATTAGAGACTAGAGAGCGACTTCACAGTTGCAAAATTAATGAAATGACCAGAACACCCTCCATGGTCCATGGAGCAGAACAGAGCAGGAGGAGCAGAGTGAAAGCACGCTGATGGAAGATATATGACAAAAATCATAACCTGGTTTATTAATTAATAATTTTCACAATCAGTTCATCTGATGTTGTGGATTTTCGTTATTGTATATGCGAGTTAGGTCAGTTGACTAAAATAGCGTGTTCGCTCTCTTGCACTCAAGTTTGATCCCTCTTTCCGTATATTAGAGTATTTCGTTTTGTCAAAACACAAAATAAAAAGTATAACATTATTCTAAAGCAGTCATTTTTGTCATATTTTCTCGCTATATTTTAAAACATATGGATGAATAGTACTAAAAGAATAATTTCTCTTAAAAGACAAAGAGTTCACATATTTCCTTGTTAGGAAGTGATTTGATTAAGAAAGAAATTTTTGATAATCGTTAAATATGCCATGTCAGTCGTCTGTCAATTGTAAACAAAATCAAACATTATCTTAATTGACAGTTAAACTAAAGCGCTTTTTTCATCAAAAAAAAAAAAACTAAAGCGCTTTCCGCCATTCTTGAAGGCTTTACGATAATCTGACAAATAGCCATCATTACCATATGAAAAACAACACTAATAAATAATTAAGAAAGAAAGAAAGAAAGAAAAACATAAAACAAATATGGATATAATAAAATGACGGATGGAACTTGAAAGTGGTTAGATGATGGGTATTTGTGGGGGGGATGGATGGAAGGCCCGTGAGATATAATTGTAACGTTTGGTTCGTACGTAATAGTGGCAGGGCAGAAGGAAACATTGGTTTTATGTGTTGATTTGGGAGGTTATGGATTTAGCTTGGCTTCTGGTTTGGTCTCTCACGGGAATCTGGCCACCTCTATCACGTGTTTCTCTCTCTCTCTCTCTCTCTCTCTCTCTCTCTCTCTAAATATGGACACATTTGGCTTAGCCAGACTGGTTTTACGGCGGTCCACGTTTCTCCACCACCATTTCCTTCCTTAACGTCTTTGGTCGGTAATGCCCTGTGCCTGGCTCTATGTCTAAATCAGTACAATCTGTCAATTTTATAGCCTAGCTTGCTTGCTTGACTTCAACAACACTATGATACTAAATCTTGAACGACACTATCTACGATTTTGTTAGACAACCGTGCCGGAAGGAGTCAACAATAATATGCCCAGCTCTCCACTGGACTCCATCATGCAAGTGGAGAGATACAAATGTACGGAAGCGCAGCCTCATCCTACATTAAATAATTACAAATATATA